AAATCAACTATCAACGGTTGACAACAGTGCGCAACTCAATGATACTCACAAAAAAGATAGAAGTAATACTATTAATACAACTAATAATATAAGTGGAGATATAACTATTGAAGATGTGGATGCATCAATGTATTACGATGAACCTATGCATGTTATTAAATCGAATGAAGATGAAACATCAGCCGTTCAAAAACCTCAATTAACAAAACTTAATTCTCTTGAAGCCGTAAAACGACGACAAAGTCGATCGATAAAAGAACACGTTGCTAGTCAACCAATCACAGAAGAACGTTCATCAAGAATCGGTAGTATTACCGTTACCCGAGTGAGAAGTTTCTCTAAGAATAATAAATCAAGAAAAAGAAATGAAACAACTATAATTCATGACAATGATGGAGAACATACAAACAACAAAATAAATGCTACATCAGATTCACATAAAAAGCAAAAAATTCGATCACGTAGATCAAGACATCGAAAAATTAATGTCAATGTGATGAAATGAACCCTTCATCTCTACTTGGACTTTGAATATAACTCTTATATATTCTTTTTATAAGTTTAAGGATTGTCTGTGTGCTTCTACAAACATATGTATATATTAATCTGAGTGACTGACGAGAATACATACTCGAATATTCAAGCAGGTTTTTCCTTCATCATTTGGTCATAGATAGATATAGATGAAGCATGAAAAAACCTAGAAAGAATTCATTGTCTTAAATCATTGTTTTTGAGATACTGAAATTTTAAGGTCTTTTTTCGATAAGGTCTAAGATTTTGAATGCTTCTTCGAATATCTGAAATCGTTTGTGTCATTGCTTCACCTTCCATACACTTCTGTGCAGAAGCATAATGAACGGCTGATTCTTTTTAAAAAGAGAAGCACAGTTCAACCATCTATCGAAATTCTAAAATGAAATCTAGTAAATAACAAAGTTCCGAAGTTTTTGGTCAAAGTGGTAACATCTATACTACGAATCATATTGAACTTTATATTGCGGAATGGGTAAGTAGTATATGTATTATGATCTTCGGATATTCCATTCATGTTACTGTCATATGATATCCATTGCACGATACTACTGTTGTCACAATGCGTCATGGTCCGTAAAGTATTCAACAATCAGCTGAGATCAGTCATACCAATTCACAGAGATAATCGCTAGCATTACCTACCATACTCGATATTTCAGCTAGAGTGTGACACCTGTTCAATGGCAACGAAACACTAGTACAGTAGCAGCTGTAAAATTCAGTAGACTTTGACAAGTATTGATAGAAAATTATAAATTCAATGAAAATTACATTTTGTATTTTTCATCTAGTTTTCTGCTTTTCCAAGCATTGTATAAAATACTGTTTTTTTTTATTTGTCATGATAAACTATGGAAGAAAACAAAGTTTGTTCTTGAATTTAAACACGTGTAAGCTACTACCTTATCTGTCACGATAAACAAAAATAAAATTTCTGTTTTTCTTTTGCATGTGCTCGAAAGTGAATACAAAAAAAAGTGATCAATTTCGAGATGGAACAACTTTGTCGTATGTTAAAACCTATAGCGAATATTTACATCATTTCATTATCATGGTCTTTGGCGATTTTCAACTTGTATCTTTTTAACAAACCATTAAGAGAATGTGCTATGTCTGTGGGTTTGAATACAATACCAATTGTTCTTGATACAATGAGTTACTACACACCAGACGAAGGATATCAAGTGCTTTCAGATTTGGGAGACAACGGACGTAATGCATATCGATTAGCTAATTATACTGATTTTGTGTTACCAATTTTACTTTTTCTTTCATTATCTCTACCAAATTTGGCTTTGAGAAAAGGATGCCAATATGTAATTGTACCACTGATATATATGATATCAGATTATATTGAAAATGTTGCAGAAAAGTATGTACTCGAAATATATCCGAGGCGAAATGATTTCGTGATGACATTGGCTTGTTATTTTGGTTTGATAAAGATCATAACTTTTTTTGGAAGTTTGTTGATATTAATTATTAATGGTTTACAATGGATTTTGAAGACAATAAATCGATCAGAATTGCAACGTCAAACGCAAAAAGTCAATTAAAGTTTCATCTAATAGATTGTATTCATTTTTAATTATTTCTTTGTCTACATTAATTCGTCGGGAAAAATTTTAACAAATTACACTTTTACAAAATTTGTACTTTATTTTAGTCACTTACCACTTTCAGAAGATTACATATTATCAGATGATACGAAGATAACTTGATTCAGTTTCTGAACTACTTTAGACTCTCTTCGTCGTGGAGATTGAATCGTTATTCATAAGGTCACAAGAGAGTCACCCGAAGTTATATCTTCCATTTCGACTTATTTATGTTTTATTCTATCAAGAATATCGAAATATTACAAAGCCTAAAAGAATTTTTATCGATAGTTCTTCCCTCAAAAGGGTGAGTATGGATGTGAGTGTATGTCTTTTCTCGACTCGTATCTATATCCACACCCATCCCACCTATTGCATGCTATTTGAAGATGTGAGTATGGCTGAAGAGAGTATCAATATCTTAGTAACAATCTCAATAACTATTAAGGGCTCTACATGGATGACTCAACGTAATATTGAACGAGAGTCATTGATTTCTTTGCCAAAGTGAACTATCGACGATCAATTGTCGTTGGACACAGTTTGATCAATTGAAATGTAATTTGATTGATTTTTAATCAACAGCAGAGTCTATCAATACTTGTTTTAGACTGGCTTATAGGCATAGTTGGACGTATTATGAGAAAAACATAATGAGACAAAGAATTTTACTTGAATTTGCTGAAGAAATGAAAGACATTACAGAAAAGGGGCGAGTTTCGATTATATCTGTTTTTGTCACGTAGGAATGCTTTTATTGATCGCTTTTTTTTCTCTATTGGTTATCTGTGATAAACTGATAAGAGAATATTAATGGCAAAAAATGAAGATTAAAATCTTGTAAAACATGGTACGCTAGTTAAAAGGCTAGAAAAAAAGGTTAAAATATTATGAATAAAAAATATTCGAATTAATGAAACGGCTTGCTTGGTAATATTATCGTATCTCGGAAGATATTGCGTCAACAAGATAGTAGTGCAAACATGATCTCAAACCAGTAATTTTCATTGTTAGATGCTTTTTATATCGCACTCAACAAGTTGAACTCGTTTTTGCTATCTCACTACAGTTCAATTTGTGTACATGTAGTTCATCTCACAAATTCAAGTTCAAGTAGGAAATTTTCACTAGCAAGATCTTCAACGAAAACATGATATGCTGATGTGAATCGAACAATATAAGCACCATTTCTATAGATTCATGCAGCAGTTTATTCAGAAGATAGAGTTAATAGAGCATATCAGCTTGAACAGCAAACTAATTCTCCTGGATTGAAACGCTCAGCATAACGAGGTTCAACATTTTATCACTATTGTCGTCATTTTTCACACTTGGTAAAAGAAAATCCTAAAATAAACGATATATGATCAACAGAAAAAAGTTCCGAGAAAAATTTGACTCAAGGATTTGTTATTCATTAATATATTCACAAAAAAATCTAAAGAATGTGTGATTGAATAGAACCTTGTAAGGCAAAGAGTAGTACAAATCTCAACCATTCATTGAAAATTTGAACTACTTTTAGCATATTTGAAAAAAAAAATGCTAAAAAGGTCAGTTGTTCTAGAGCCAAAATCTGATAATCAGACCACTGTATTCGACGAGACTTGGTCGTCAACGTTAACGAATGTTTACAGATACACACGGTGATCGTAATACACTGTTAAGTATGGTATATGAGTACTGTAAATGTTCATCGTAAACAGCTGTCGATTTATGGCTTTTTTTACTGCTGGAGATGATTGATCTGAGAGCAGAAGTAAATCGACACATTCGTCATCCAATATTTCTCTGGTAAGCCAATCTTCTGAAGGTCTCATTATTGTAGTACGCTATAACTACTTTGTCATTTCTTGAGCAAATACAGAAATGCTTCACTTATATAATTAAATCCACTTCTTATAGAAGTTCCATGAAGGTACCACTGGGTGTCTATCGAGCCTGTGTGATCTCTTCAAGATTGAAAACATGATTTAATATATGGTGTTGATGGGCTTTTAGTAGATAAAAATGGCTTGTTCAGCAGTGATACAAACCTACACGAAATTCATCCGACGAATACGAACAATTAGAAAAGTGCAGTTCAATGTTGTTAAGCAATATTAATGATGTCGTAATCTAGTTGCAAAAATTGTGATTCACAAATCAGTCTAGTGCATATTGATTATTTTAATTAGTAAATTGAGAGGATCGAATCTAGAATTTATGTCAGTTTGTCTTGAACAATATTTGAGAAACAGGTTAGCTATTTTTATCATTCAACTTTTTAATATACAACACTGTTTGTCGCACATTGTTTATAGATTGACTAAGAGAGGAAATCATAAAATAAAGAATAAGTCAAATAGTTCGTATATGCATGCAATATGAAAGAATAAGAAGCGAAACAGTCCTCAGGTCTACGCCAAATCAACAATCCATTATGAGATATTATTTCACGTTCAGAATCAATAGGCCAAAAGATTCTCTTATCATCATTCCTTGTGGTCATCATCATACTTCTGGTAACATCTATTTCTAAAAGATCCAAATATCCAATTTTATTCAATAATTCATCTTCTGTCAAAGGAGACGTTGCTTCAAATAACTGATCATAAAATGAAGGAGAAAATCATCAAACCATGAACAAGACGAAAAATCAAAGTATATGCAAAAATTTTCTTTTCAAATGTTAACTAAAACTTCAAAAATACTTTTTTACACTTACCTGAAAATCCTAACAGCATTTTTTTGTAAAGTATAAATGTTTTCATCATGTTATGACCATACTCAAATGAACTTTGAATTCTTTCTGAAAGCAGTCTAGCATTTAGAACAACAACACTCTTCGATTCAACGATGTAGTTTAGTGCATATTCTCGATTATTAAAAAAAAAGAATACAATCAGGAAGTTTAAGTAAAATTTCACTTGTGTTACGTGGAAATAGAACAACTAAAAAACACCAAGTCTATCAATAATGAAAAAGGTTTTCAAACATTGGGTGCCAGTAGCTGACGGAGAGCTGGATCGTTTTTGCATCTAAAAGAAGAACATGGTTAGTGGATGTTTGAGAACGTCACCATATACATACCCAGCTATGAACTCATACTTGTTCAGTTTTTTATCTCCACCAACATCGATTCTGCTAATGATTTCTGCAGCACGCTTCTTAGGATCATTGTCTCCTTTTCGATTGGTTTCGCCCCGTAGATCATACTTAAAATAAACATATTTTGCCTCATAGAAAAAGAAGAACGAAAGTAGAAATATAGATATTATACCGCAGCCGAAATCATTGCAGCCAATTCTTTTCGATCGATTTGTCCGTCATCTGAGGTATCGCAACTGTACGACAGAAAAATTATGTGTAATCAAACTCAATCGAACTCACATATGGAATGCAACTTCGAGTCGATCATCTAAATCACCTTGAGATGTAGCAGCAACAGCAAGGAGATATTCATTGAAATCAATTACTCCATCGTGATTAGCATCAAACATTGAAAAGGCAAGCCTTAAGTAAGAGAGTAAGACAATATGCAACAGAAAATAAATCTATTGACCTACTGGCAGTAAGTATCTGCTTTGCCACCTGAAAAAAACTTTTTGTATGCTTCAACAAATTGTTTTTTGTTGAGTTTGCCCGTTGGAGACTCACGAAGAAAACTCTAGAAACAAAATGAATTCCACGAATACAAGTATATATACAAGTAGTTACGGCGTGCCACTCTCGAATTTCTAAGAAAATAAAACAAATAGAAAGGCTAGATCACACCAATAGTGTGGATTTTGTTACCTCTATCTGAATATTGGGTAGTTGCTTTGAGCATTGCAAGTTCTTAAATAGAAAATCATCATGACAATGTTAACGAAAGAAATAATTAACTAACGTTTAGGTGTGAGTTCCTTTGGTGGTCCTTTTTTGGAGCCTTTGCTGCCCATGATGGATATTGTTTTTGATCGATACTAGTGAAAAGATTAACAAAGCAAAAAATCTAAAAAGCAAATCATACGGCGAGGTAGTGAATATACTACAACAAAAATAAATAAATAAAAGTATGGCGAAACAAGTTCCTTGGTAGTAAATTCGATAAAAGTAAAAGAAAAAGCTTGGAGATTTAGTACTTTGAACGAAAACATCTCAGTGTGATTTGCTCAGTTCAATAAATGAAAGTCATAAATGTTGACATCTGAAAAGAAAAGCGTAGAATATCGTTTTTTAATAAATACAGAATAATCGGTGTTTCCAAATAGGAAGTGACTTCAATATTTCACTCATATCTCGATGAGTCCTCATCATTCAGACTTGAACATCTTTCTAAAGAGTTTTCCATTGGAAAAACGATCACGAAAAAAACTGATATGAGAATGTTTTCTAAATAATGATTGGTTAAGTTCTTGGCTTCTAGTACGCATCAACTTCTACTAATGTTCTCGTTCAAACAGTAAAATTTATCAATTCCTTCGGAGTATGAAGCTGTAATATTCAAGATTTGCGTGGAATGGCACGTAGAGCCGATAATTCTTGGTTTTCATACATTATATTCAAAATGGGTGAAACCTAGTGTTTTTGATAATTACATTCAATTTAGAAGAGAAAAATACGAAATGTAGATTTTAGAGATTCTCTTGTAGGCGTTTTTAATTAAAAGTAGCAGTTGGAACTTGGCACAATTATTTCCTTTTGTAAAAACACTTACTAAATACAGTTTGACATAGAAAGAATTAAATAACTCGATCGCTAAAACATTTGAGGTCGGCTTTCTATGTAAATGTGAAATTTCTTAATTAGGTTTGATTAAATAGACATTTTGAGCAACTTCAAAATGACTATATTTGTCATTCGACAATGTGGACATTTGGTTTTAAATTAATGAAATGTCTACAGCTTTAATCAGACAATTGCTACTCATATTAAAAACAAATAAGACAATCATTGATTACAATAAATTATTTTCCAACGAGAGCGTAATAAAGTAATGAGATGAAGATGCATGAATTATATTCGATTTCGATTGAAAATGCATCATAACTGTTGCATATTCATATTCTTACCTGATTGCACTGCTATAGTCAATTGTATATAAAGACTGACGTTAAGAAGAGAAAAAAATTTTGCAGACGAAGAACACTTCGAGGAGAATACGTTTAACAGTGAAGGATAATACATGAAATTTTTCTCAGGTGTTCAACGACATCTAGAAAATAAAAACCAAGAGAAAATGAGAAATGTATTCATTTTTGCTCAAAACAAAGAAAAACATATCAAAAGAGATCTCACACTGATCTGTCGATCTTCAGGCCAGCCAAGAGATCGATCTTCATTTGATAAAAGAAAGTGAAAATTGTAATCAAGTGACCTTAAGAAAAAATGCATCAATGCAACACGAAAACTTGACTTTGTGAGTGACAAACAAATAGTATATGGACGAAGAGGAGACGTTGTAGTTATATTAAAATATGATAGCAAACGCATCGGATGACTTATGAACAAAACATGAAAAGTCATCAAAAAAGATGACAAATGATTTATTCGTTATGTTAGTATCCTTCTTCACGTTAAGCTGTTTAGCTGCAAGTCAACAATGAGAGAAAGAGAGTCTTTCCAAGTTAGCTGAGGGATGTGAAAATGAATAGAGTCTGCCTCCTAAGGACAGGGCAAATATAAAAATAGTAGCGATTAGAAAATGAGGCAAACGAAGTGTTTATGTCAAGCTACAAACAAAAACAGACATACGCAACGAAGTTGAGTGTAGGTTTACTAGTGTCGTTGAAATGAAGATCCATAATCACACCAAGACTCTAAGAAGCAAGATCTCATCATGAACTGTACTTTTTTATTTGGGTAGAATTGAGAATATAAGATTTTTACGGTCAGTTTTTGTCGTGGAATAAGCAGTAGTGATATCAACTTCGTTTAAGAAGAATACAAAATGCTTGTTAAATGTAGGTGTTAGAAGAGCAAGCAGGAAAGATAACAAGACTTCATATGATAAGTGATGCAAGTAGTTTTGAGGACAAGACACTCAAAAGTATACCCAAATAAAACATAGGCGGCGCACCAGCACCACCAGGGACAGCAATTGCGTCCCCTACAAAAAATTAGGGGCAGCAATAAAAATTTATCGCATCCCCTAGTTGTTCCAGCTTTTTTTGTATATCATGGTAAAACCATATAGTTCAAGGCACTTGTATTCAATACGATTTTGTATAAGTTAATATATGAGGATTGACCAGTGTCATGAATTTGTTTATTGCTATCTTCATGAATGCATTTCGTGTTATCCATACCCGACATGAGATTATTTAAGTAATACATAATTAATTTTTTGTTGGTGATTTTCGACACCCTCTTTTCAGCGTCAGCGATATCTAAAATGTATCGCTCGACCAAAACCACTAATGTACTCTCAGATCGAGTTTCGTCTTCCTTAAACCAATCACCTGATACTTAAATAATCCCCATCTATTCTTGACTTTACAAAACGTTTGAACTGTACTATCTTTTTTTTATTAGAAATAAACATGGCATGAAATAAATTCACATTTTCAAGGTATAAGACTGAGAATAGATCAAACACAACAACGTTTTGGAAAAAAGGCCATATAAAATAGAAAAGTTAGTGTTCGAGAAACAAATGTTAAAATTTCGAAAACACGAACAACTTTGAAAAAAACAAAGTAAGGGTGTTTGTGTGAAGTATATTTCACCGAACTCGTCGACGACAATGCGTTACAATATGGCTAAGGTTTTCTTCAGATGGCTTAAAAGGTAATATTTCTCGGTGTCAGAGCATTTTTCAGTCGAGGGTTATTGCATCTTGCAGACCTTAGTAAACTATGTCTACCCTAGCGAAAGTTCGTGATTATGATCTGTTTCTGAGGTGATCGAACGTTTTTAACATATTAGCTAAACACAACCATTCAGGTTGTTCTTTGTCTGCCACAAAGATCTGCTTTCATTTCCGCAATGTTGCATGTAGTGATCACAGTTCTCGATCCTCTCGATTCATCTACTACAGTTGGTATAGAGACAACTTTTGTTTTCATCGTTTCTTCGGTTATCGTTTTCATAATTGTCAAGATAGTCTAATGTAAAGATAATTATTTTGTGAAATGTAGAGCAATTATACTGTTTTTTGCTGGCCATCTTGATAATTATCACTCTCAGTGAATACTAATAATATTAAGAGGGATCAGAAAAATATGAATTAGAGTGATGTACTCCAATCATGAATCATTTGAATGAATGTTACGAGAAAGTACTCATTTAATCTGAAAGTTTCAACTATACAACTTGCAATTTTAAGAAGTAACAGAATTAATAGCTTGTAGAAAAATGTTAACATTATCTAAAAGCAATAACTCTGTCTTTTCAAGACAGTTTCAGCTCATACGTTTAGTATTTCTACAACATAAGTACAATTATATATTAGAAAAATGTCGGGTCGTTTCCACTTACACCGGTTGAGACTGTAATTTTTCTAATAAGATGCCCATTATAGCTGTAACAGTAAAAGGTTCAATTTCTCCAGAAACAAGCCAAAAGCACGAACTTTCGCTAGGATAGATATAGTTCACTAAGGCCTACAAGATGCACTAACTGCCAGCTGCAAAGCGCTCCGGTACGTCGGAATGTTTCCTTGTCAGTTCGATTCTGTATTTAAATCTTCATTCTATTTATAAAAGAAATCAAAAGTTGAAAAAATCACTGTGTTTATTTAAATTATAACAGTAAATGAGTAGTAAAGAACCAGGATTTTCAAGAGAAATGTCTCTTGACTAGCAAGATGCGGAGATATCTTATAGTGTGAATACCTATGTGCATTTGTAGAAGAAATTACGACGCATTTCAGGGTTACCGAAATCGATTTTTATGTGGCTTGGATCTCTACTTCGATTCTTTGATTAGAGAACCAATTCAATGCCGGTGCAACTATGTTAGATCCATCATTGAAGTGGAATACATAGTGGTGTACATTGTAACGAGTTAATATTCAATATTGAGGAGAGAGGAAAATAATTGAAACATGAGCAGAGAGAATATAAATGGTAAACCAATCAACAAGAAATAGTCGCTTGAGAAAGAAAGAAACTATGTGTAATGATAAGAATATTTTAAAATATGATGAATATCGATTCAATTAAACCAACGAGTGTAAATAAAAAGATGGCTTAGGTATTGTTAGAGTCAGTAGATGGCACTCACTGATGCTAAACGTTTATTCATATGTTATCTGATTCTTTGATCTCTGTTATGATTTGTTACGTAATCTTTCAACTATGACTGATCCTCGTGATTGACTTCTCTCGTTCATTATTATGCAGGTGTTGGTTTATTTTTTTCCCAGTTATTATTATTAATGTTATTATTATTATTACCATCTTCTAGATTATTATATTCTGGTCTGATGGTTATTGTTATCTTTTCTCCATCTCAAAATATAATATATAAAAATATATTATTATATTAAATATGTGCAAGTTACAACGACAAAGTACGGCAGACAATCGGTGTAAGCTCTCAAAATTGTTAAGCAGACTGAAATATCAGTTCTATCAAACATTCTCCCAAACGAGAGTTTTACAGGAGTAAGCAGGTGACGTCGTAATTATGAGATGCAATAACGTTTTGAGGTGGATATGGGTATTGGGTGTGGATGTGGATGTGTGTAGATGCGGACATGAGTTTGTGATGTAAGGTTGAAATGTCATTTTGGGTCAAGAGAAGAGCCACGCACTAATGCTGACACTCACATATCTACACACATCCACACCTCACACTCACACTCACCTACACCGACATCCAACCACATCTATAACCTCTTAGAGCTCTCTGGGACTCTCTTTCATTTGACCCGAACATCAGTATGTTTTGTCGTTACAATAGTTGAAAAACAGCTTGCTTGAACCTAATCGGTCGATGCTTAGGATGTAGAGATCACCCTCATGAGTGCTCTTATAAGGGCTCCCAAGCTCGAACTGACAGCCGTTATGAACACAAACGAAAAAAAGTTGGCTCTTATGAGTCACTTGAATATTCAAAGTACATAAGAAACGTGCGCTCATATGAGTGTGTCCAAATTTCATGACATTGGAATCGATTGATATCTCTCAAAATCTCTAAAATCTCTCACAATTTTCTAAAATTTTTCGAAATCTTAAAATCTGCTTTTTCCCTCTGCTCCACATCAACACTCCATGCCCACACCCTGGCCACATCGCCTGAATCAGTCCCGGTTATCAGATAAATTTTTGTTATAGATGATGCTGTAAAAATTTTTATTAGTAAAATATATTGTGAAGCTGTTTTCTTCTCGGTTGATTTCAATTTTTTTCCAATGCCTAGTTCGAATTTGGATAGAAAGCACTCTCTAGAAGTGTATATATCAAAGAGCAAAAATCATAAGCGCTACTGTGGATAAATTGGTGATATTTACGGAAGAAAAATGATGTCATGAAGAGTTCTGTGTTTTCAAAAGTTATATTGATGAACATGATTCATCTGTAATATTTAGTGGAGTCGCCGGACAGCCATTCCATTGTGTATTCGTTGGTAACTGATCGTCTTTCATGATGAGTGTTAATGGATGAATAATATTGTTGCCATTGAGAGTCGCTCCTGGAAAGACGAATGCCCAATGAGAGAGACGCGAATAAGAGCCTATAGTGACCGGTGCCAGATGTGTCATTCGACCTTCGCTTGTATGACACTTTAATTTCGAAAGACAGTGGCAAATAAGATTTTGGAAAAATTTTATTTTTCGACTTGTTTCGTGTTAACTAGACTGAAAATGACTAGAAAACATCTTTAGTCGAAAAAAAATCGGGGTTTGCATGTGAAATTGTGGAAGATTCAGATCATCCTTTAGAAACATCTCAGTATTCTCATGCATACTCACCCATGATAGCAGAATGTTCTGCAAAAATTTCCCACACAGCTCTGGTTGTCGAGCTTTTGACGCTGCTCTTATTGGGAAAAATTTTCTATTTTTCATCGACAAATGACGAAGATTGGGTCATAATACTAAAAAGCACTAAACTGGACCAGCATCCTCAAGACACTATAGAAGCATTCAGAGCAGTCGTTCAATTTAGTGCTTTTTGGAATTTTGACCCTATCGTCGTCATTTTTTGATGAAAAATGAAAAACTTTCGGAGATCATCCTGCTATCATGACTGAATATGCATGAGAATACTGAGCTGTTCCTAAAAGATGATCTGAATCTTCCACAATTTCACATTCAAGCCCCCATTTTTTTCTGACCAAAAATGTTTTCTATTCTTTTTCAATCTAAAAGTAGCACGAAAAAACTCGAAAAGTTAAGTTTTTTTCCGAAAAGTGGTATTTTTCCGATGGATTTACCAAGATTTTCTCACCTGAATTTTGGCCGTTGCACTCACACGAACATGTGATTCAATAGTGACATGTTTCCAATCCTCGACTGCATTGATCTCACCGATGACTACATCTTGACCAATACTAGCTTTGAGACGACGCAATAGAATAACCAACCATTGAGTGCCACCAAGAAGAGGGGTGATGAAAGTAAAAAAATCAAGTGTCAAAGCTGTGGTCAATCGATATAGCCAGGGGTTGATACGATCAGTCAAACTGAGTTCACGTGGTATTGCATAGAAAAATACAGAAATAAAATGTTCCGCCGCAAGAAAATAGATCAATAGTAACAGCGGATCATAAATCAATACAAATGATAGAATTACATTGACCAAAAATCGAATACCAATAGTACACGCCATATCAGAGTAAATGGATGGCGAAATATTATTTGTTGACATTGACAGTAGACTAAGTTGTTGAAAAGGCATCAATCGAGCTGGAATACCAAGCATAACGCTACTACGATCACTATCATCATCAGTTACAACATCCGTCTCTTCATCAATACGAGTCAGTGTGCCAACAAGCGTTTGCTTAACGATATTTGCTCCTGGTTGAACAGTGCAATGATTGCCAAGTTGAACTTTGCGACCGAGTCGGATGCGATCTACTTTACATTGGCCATTTATTGTCACATTGAACGGAATAAATAGAACGAATCCATTTACTGTAACTCCTTGTTCGATGTGAACAAGATTCGTCGGAAAAGCGAGTAAAAAATGCGCTTGAGATATGCGGATGTCATTCGGTTCATCGATTTGAGCACCGAGCCACTGAAAAAGACGAGGAAACAGAAGATGATAAGGACCCATATGGGATACGAATGAAAATGCCAACGATCGAACAACAAGTTGACGAAGCCATAGTTTGCGTAAAAAATACCACGAGTTCAGAGGATATATACCTGGTTGTGCTTCACCAATGATAATTTTGAGAAGAACGACACATAATATCAGGCGACCAACGGACCAAGCGAGCCAAACGATGGCTAGACGAATGAATAATGGGATTATCGATGGTAGACACGAAAAAATCAATGTGAAGAAACAAATGTGAACAGATAACATAGCCAAAATTGAAATAAGTTGAAAAACTACTTGTGATTTGGAGAGTGCATTATTATCATTGTCCGATGCAGATTGATCTTTATCAATTTGTTGTGATGGACCGTCGATAATCGATCCACTTGAAATATGACCAGTGATAGGCGACATGGCTTTCACCACTACTCGTTCCTCGATTTCGACGCCATTATGCAGAACAGTTCGACAACCGATTGAACAGTTCGAACCGATTCGAATCGTATGCAGTTTAAAGGTACGATCATAATAGGTAAGAGAAGAAAGAACAGCTTCGTCACCAACGTAGGTTGAATCGCCTACGTCGAGAAGATCTGGTGTATCGATAAATGATGTGTCAATGTTCGCATGGTGACCAATACGAGAACCACATAAACGTAGATAGGCATTATAGAATGATGTACCTTGTAAATGATTGAGCCAGAAAGTATTTAAAGTCCACATGCGTTGTAGGAACCACCAGTAATAGTATTTAGATGAAAAGAGTACGTCTTCCATTTTTGCAATGCCCAATGGAAATAGCAAATTTTTACATAGTACATAGCTAAATAAATGGATGAATGGAACGATGAACAAAAGCATTATTGAAGAGGAAGAAATGATCAGTAGAATAGGTAAGATCCAGAGAGTAATTAGAAATAGAATCCCAATGGTTTCACTGATAATTGATGGTATTGGACGAGAAGCTTCATTCTCGTCTTTTGTTATCGGTTCTGTGAGTAAATCATGCTTATTGTCAGTGATCAGCGGTTGAAGAACTTTAGCAAGCTGTCGAACAGATGGATTTGTAAATAGAAGATTAATATTCATTTGGGAATAAATCTTTTGTCGAATGAATGAAAGAGCTCGCATAGCTCCGAGTGATGTACCGCCTAGTCGGCCAAAAGAGATATTAACATCAGGAGATGCTTCAAGATGAAATGCTTCAACAAAAATGTTCTGAAGTTTTTCTTCGAGCTTTGTTATCGGATGTGAATAAGAATCATTTTCGTTATGTGTTAATGTACTAAAATCTGGCTTTGGCATTGCGTTCTGATCGACTTTTCCATTTGTCGTTAATGGGAAGCGCTTCAACATAATGAACACAGATGGAATCATAAACGGAGGCAAATGCGATTCACAATAATCACGTAACTGACATGTTTCCACTTGAGATGAAACTTGCACATAAGCAACGAGATGTTCCTGATCTTTTTCTTGATATTTCTTCACCAAACAGGCAGAAACCATTTGAGAAGCATCCAAAATTGTTCGCTTAATATGGTCCAATTCAATGCGCTGCCCACGTAGTTTGACTTGGAAATCTTTTCGACCCAAATAGAAGAGAACACCTGTTGTCGGATCTTGTCGAACAAGATCACCCGTTTGATAGAGCGAATTGAATGTGCACTGAAAAGTTAGCTTCATTTAGATTGACTAATCGAAACATATTCATCAAAAGTCATGCTTATGATTTGCTAGAATGTTCTTTTTAGAAAAGCACATCGTTCTTTCTGTTTCTAATGTTTGTTTTTTACGAATAAAACATAGAGTCACATACATTCTATGGTCTACATAGTTGATTAGTGGTTTGCATGAAACCACAGATCAAATTTGAGTGGATCTACTTAGTTCAGATTTGGTTAATGAGTTAACTATACGCCAATTATTTTGATCATCGAGTTGTTAGATCAACAAATGACCAATCCGATGAGGTTTTGTTGAATATTCTATGGTCAGTATTTTGAAGCATGTTTTATTCTATCTAGTCGTATAGCAGTACTATTCAATAGTGAACATGGTTCTCATTCGATCTACACCACTCTGGCCTTGCTAGCTTGCTCGATACAAGAATTATAAGCAGTCTTCCAGAAACCACGATATTGGCCCTTTCACCTTGAATCGACTCAAAATAGAAGCAATCAGTCCAGTATAGTCGAGTAAAGATGTTTAATTTCAATTTTGAAAACTATCGAAAATCACTTTATCACGGTTTTTAAATTGCATTTGCTGTTGGTATGTGACGTCTAGAGTGATTATGCAAAAAGTCTATATAGAGACTTCAAACAGTTTAGAAAGTTGAAAATAAACATTGCCAGTCGACTCAGTATGGTCGATTTCGACGTGATTCAAGGTGATTTACTTTAGTCAAAACCGAGATTTGAGAAAGCACTTATAGCTTCTGAAGAGTAGAAGCTAGAGAACTTAGCCTTAACCTCGTGCAGATCAAGAGCAAACTATTTGTCTTATCAAATGATTCCATTTCAATCTACAACCTGTTTCGAAAACGTTCTACCAATACTGCACTCAATATGTCCTGTAAAAAAGTCAATTGGTTGATCGATAGTTGGTTCCATCAAATTAGACAGAACAATAGTAGGTTTTCATAATATTGATAGTGTTCTTCAATATTTTGTTGTTGCTTTTTCACTAAACAGAGAATCGATATCAGCGTTTGTCGGTGGCAATCATAAAAGCATCTAGATTTTGCGAGATACAAAGTCAGTCTTGTAATAGATTTTCCGCACTTCACGAACTCGTGTATGAAAGTTTCACGAACATCGAAAAAGAATCTTTAATTTCCAGTTTGTAGAAAAAACTACTATTAACTATGATAGATTCAAGGGAAATCCAGCGTATAAATCTCGTATAGACTGCAGAGGTGGAACATTTTTGATACGGTATTTAAAACTATTGAAAACAGGATGAGTCGTTTGTAATTAGTACTTTGATCAAACATAGTCACTACGTACTAGACTCCACACATCGAACTTTTTGCGATTCGCATCGGTGTCAACTATTAGCAACATAAAAGTTTACTATTTGAAATTTGAAGAAGGTCGACACCATCTTGTTGGATGGCCAAAGAATGTATTGTGCTCTGTACTCACAAAGAAATTATTCATAAAAAACCGCTCTTTAGCGCAACTTGGTGAGCTGCAAAGCCAGACGGTAATGAGTTGTCAGAAATCGTTAGAAACAAGAATCTACCAAGTCGCGGTTTCTAGAGGTTCATAAAACCCTATTGACAGTCCGATTTTCGTGAATTCCTTAAATCGTTGTAAACGTGAGTTTCTCTGGAATCGTCAAAATTGAACCAGGCTAATTGGCTGCACCTTTGTATATTGCCAAATTAGATGAAGCCACCCTTCGCGGAGCTATGTTGCCGACTGTCCGAAATCAGAATCATCACATAATGAGATTCGCCAAGTACCAAAGTTCGGAAGAAATTTCACATAGAAACCCCATGGATAAGAAGCGCACGATTCCTTTATTCTTACAACTCTAATGAAAACGCTTCGAACCGTGATGTGTAAATACCGCAGTTAGAACAAAGAAAATCGCAGCTCTAATTGCAAAGATTAGTCCGAACTGTAGTTGTTTCTATTCTCTCAAGGGTACTGAGCTATCACGGTGTTGACAGGTGGTTATAAACGAAAAAATAATCTAATTTTGGTAGTTCATTTCAATCACGGTTTTATGCGAACGCTTCTTCTGCGTGTGCTAAGCAACAAAAATTTATTGCATCGCAATGGATTAATTGAATAATATACTATGATATAATTTGGCTTGGAATAGAAAGCATCTTCCAACGATTATTTATTCCTTAATACTTTATCATGCAACGAAGTTTTTGTGACTTCTTCGACTAATTTTTCTATAAAGGTACACTGTTATCAAAAACTACGAATGTGTTTCCCTGCATGTTAGTAATATTTATGAAAATTATCATAAAACAAGCCATCCATCCTAACATGTATGCTCACTTGCAATTCGTTATCAAACTTAACATATCTACATGTCAGCTCGGTCACAACAACAGAACGAACGGAGTACTTAGCGATCTTGCTTCGAAAAGTCGACTAGACAGATCGCTATACTTACTCTATTTCTATCTCACTGACTATTAATAGGACTGAGATTCATCGAAAATATCAGACTCAAGACTAAATTTTCTATTATTGTCTTGTCAAAGCTGAAAACGACATGGGAACAGATAAAAATGGCAGTTTGTAGTGATGCTCATCAGCTTATCGAAACGTGTTTGTCAAACAGATGAAGAATGCAGTGCCCGAAATGACACTGGTTTTATTAAAGAAAAAAAAAATTTTCGTTGGATAGTCTATAACAACGGTGGAGTGTTTTATATTCTTTTGACATTAAAAGTATTTATTTCAACTTTATATAGAGGAAAGTTTTGGAATTCTGTTGAACTTCATTTCATTTCGAAAGTGAATGTGTTAATGTTGAATTCTACATTTAGCCAGTTCCGAAATTATGTTTTTATTGATTGACGTCTACCGATATTGTTTTCGATTATTTGGATGTTAAAATTAGCATATTCTCTTCAATTCACACTAACCTGTTCAGTAAGATCATTTCGACCGAAATAACCTGGCGAACGTTGAATACCGCCGAGATATAATTCGCCCACTTGACCAGGGATAACATGTTGCCGATATTCATCAAAAATGAATGCTTGCATATTGGGAAATGGACGGCCAATTGGAATTTCACCAAGTTTAATATCTTCGCACGTCACCTCATGATAGACCGATGTGAGTGTACATTCAGCAGGACCAAACAAATTGTATAGACGAGTATTTTTTAGATTCATATGATCTGCCATTATGGCAAGTGTCTTTGGAATGATTGCCTCGCCTAAAACCAAGACTTATGAGTATGAGTTAAAGTATGACTAGAAAAAAAGATGCAAACCCAGAAAGCCGAACGATCGGATACTCGACAACTTCCAAAAGCTGTCTCTTTCCACTAGATAATCACATAGAATAGTCATAAGAGATGGAACAATATTGAAGAAAGTCACTTGGTGTTGTTCAACTGTCGTCAAAAGATAATCGGCATCCATATTGCCATTGGGACGCAGGAGAACAAGTGTAGCACCCAAAATCAAAGTGCCCAAACATTCTTTGACATGAACGTCGAACGAACATTCAGCCATTTGAATGACAATATCTCGCCGATTGAAAATGTCCAAATGTTCGAATGACAAAATGCATGACACAAAATTGCGATGTGTGATTGAAACCTATAAGGAAAACCGCATAAGCATGAATTCATCAGTATCATGATAAACCTACGGCTTTCGGCTGCCCAGTGGAGCCACTCGTGAAAACAAGACTAGAATTATACGAATCAGCTCTATTAAAACAGACGCTCTATTTCAGAAAAAAAAACTCACTAAGCCAGATTATCGAGTTTCACTCCAACAGGAGGCGGTAGCTCGTCCGTTTGTATATCATAGGTCACATGTAATGTTGTTATAATGCTTTCAAATTTATCACGTGTCGTTGGTTGAACAAGAATAAGACGAGACCCAGTCTGCTGAATAAGAATGGCAAGATGCGAGGGTGGATCATTCGGTGACAAAGCCACATAAGTAGCTCCACACGCAAGAATACCTAGTTGACCAACAATCATCTCTATCGATCGTTCAACACATTGGCAAACAATATCACCTGGTTGAACGTTGAATTCAGTCGATAGGCGAAACGCAAGTTGATTCACACTGTGAAGAAGTTCACCATATGTTACGGATTGTTCATCCAGTACAATAGCTACTTTTTGAGGTTGCATGTCTACATGTCGAGCAAAATCTTCTGGTAGACAATTGAGTGAACGACTATAGTCCAAATAAGTGCTGTTGAGTTCATGTCGAAGCTGTACTTCATTAGATAAGAGCAATGAAAGACTAAAAATTGGTTGTTGTCGTTCAGTATTCTGTTCAAACAATTGCCGTAGCAGAATGTGAAAACGCTCTGTCATTGTTTTTATCGTGCATTTGTCAAATAGATCTTGCGAATAATTGAATAATACTTTTATACTTTTATTGTCTGGATCGTGTCGAACGGTGATAATAAGATCAAAAATGGCTATTTGAGTGTTGCTCCCATCCAACGAGTCAACACGAGTCAAATGAATGTCGTCAACCAATGAAATACTCTCACTTGCGCCATATTCTTCTTTTGTTTCATATAAGAATTCAGTATTGACGGAAATCGGCATTGATGATACGATTTTCTGATAGGGAAATTGAGAATGAACAAGCGCATTGATAAGAAGATTTTGAACAGTAACAAGAAGTTCGTCGAATGAACATTGAGGATTAAGCTGTAAACGACAAGGAATCATGTTGACAAACATACCAACCATAGAATGAAGCTCGCGAAGAGGTCTATTGGCAACAACACTTAACACACACAAATCTGACTCGTTTTGAGCCAGTTTAAATAAGTAAGCAAAATAGGTAGTAAGAAACACTTGGTACAATGAAGCCTTGGATTGATGGGCAAAGCTGGTTATTAGCTGTACTAATTCTGTATCGAGTTCAAAAGAAACAGTTGCTCCACGACCAGAACGAGGAGAAGTAAGCCGCTGTGGATGATCATAAGGAAAGGGAAAATGTTTTTCACCATTGTAACCACGCAACGTTTGCTCCCAAAATAGTTTGGCTTCAGTCATATGCATTGAATGTTCGTGTGATGCGTAATTGAGATAGGTCAATGTATTCGAATCAAAAGGCGTCAACTCTTGATAGCAATAGGCATGGACAAAGTCGGTAAAGAACGGCTTGATTGAAGAACCATCAAAAGCTGAATGATGAAAATTGATAATAACAACGTCATTTGGCACGAGCCTATCTTCTTTAACACCACAGCTATATCGGACGATGTGCAAGCGAACAACGCGTCCTTGTTCTATATTGAAAAGAGATCGATTGATTTCTTCATCGACAACAATAGTGTTGAATTCTTCATTGCTTGATATTGAACTTTCTTTGAATTCGAAATTTCTCTCATCAACAGGAAGTACATGTTGCCGAAGACGACCGTCATAGAATCGTAGCGCTGTTCTCAAGGTACTATGCTTGTTGATCACAAGATCAAGAGCTTGGCAGAGACGTTGAACTGAAAGTTGGCCAGATTCCAGCTTGTAAATGAAAGGAAGATTATAAATAGCGATTGCCTCTTTCTGTTGATCGAATCGAACTTGTTCATCAAGCCAAATACGTTCTTGAGCATAGGAAGCAGGACCTTCAACTACAGAAAACTATTATTCGTAATATGTACAAGTTACATTCGTCTTCTTACCTTCTTTTTGATGAAGCGATTGTTGGTCTGGTACTTGCTGCTGTTGTTCAGCAAAATAACCGTTTTTGTGCGATTCAAGAAGATGTGCGTGTTGAGCAATGGTTCTTTTATCCAAAAAATCGATTATGTTTAATGTGGACTGCTTCAAGTCGAAGGCAAACACATATTGACTAAACAGTCGCATGAGTTGAAGAGAATTTCCACCCAGAGAATATAAATCGATATTGATCGGCAGTTGGCTACGATGAAATAACTCGCACCACAACTGATGAACCTTTTTCTCGATATCTGTGGTCGGTTGTTTCGTGTCGGCCGTGACTTTGCACAGTAATGAGAAATCAGGTGGAGGAAACTACGCAAAAAAATAAGGTTTCCGTCGATCATTCACTTAGATTATAGATGTGAAAAACTAGCATAAAAACATGACTCAGCAGACTTTTAGCATAACAATTGTCAACGAATTTTAATTTTTTCAAAGTTCAGACTGTGAGCATTCCATGATATACCTATAGTGATCTTCTCCGCACCTCTACAGACAGTTCGGTATGCTGCTCCTTTGATCTTGTTGCGGGTCATGATCAACACATAGCGAGGGTCTTCATGCACAATGAAACCGGCTCCATCATATTTCAGGTTTTAATTCCATAGAGACTACGTTGAAAGCTTTTTTTACATGGGTTGTAGCAAACATGCTCATGTTTATCACGGTCTATGTGGAAAATAATTGATTGCTTAGATCGTTGCTATTATTCTTCAACGCTCATGACCAATCACATTGCAATTATACACCGAAGTTCTGTTACAGCTTCACATGAGTACATGAACTGAGATAAACTGGGATTGTTTATCAAGACACTACTGCAGTCAAAGACTAATGTTATGCTGCTTCTTGACGTACTACTTAGGGATAGCATGCTAACATTAAGTTAATAATTAACTTAACTTTTGGAAAAACGGGCATTCATTAACCTTCCTCTGTTGTCTTGGAAAGACATCATGTTACCTCGTGTTCGATCTCAATCGACTGTCTCAACTTCTCTTAGATCCTTTACCATTGATTAGACAGTTTTCATTGCTTTTAAATGATGTTCAAAATGCCATATGCTGCTCTCGAGAACTTTGACATAGATTCTGAGATCTTCATTGATATTCGAGATTGAACATCATGGGGGTTCGAATCACTTCTAGCTGTCACTTGATTCTATGTTTGCTGTCTCACAGGAGTCGAATAGAGGGCAAAGCCATGCACAGGCTTTGTTCTTGACAATACCAGCGATATCGAACATTCATTCAGAGTAAATTGACGTTCAATCGGCGATTCACTTGAATGAGCCGAGGCAATTTGACTGTATGTATTACCTAGAATTGCTGAAAGTCAATCTCTTTGACATTTTCACGAATGAAATGAAGATAGGTGGCTAATTTCTCTTTGATAGTGATAGTATTCGCATTGGTAGTCGTGACCTGTGATGCAATACCAACCATTGTAGAAGGTTTTACTTCAATACTCGAATATTGACGTGGCTGTATTCGAGGAATGAGATGAGAAAAACGTCGACAGTCACGAACATACTATTAAGTCAATAATGAAAGAAAAAGAAAAACCAACCCAATCAAATTTGATCATTTCCGTTTTAATATACTGCTTCATCTCTTCGTAGTCGTAGTTATTGGTCAACATATGTTGAATCAACGAATGGCAATTCATCTAATTACATTTTTCCTCACTATGTAGTCTTTCTAGTTGAAAGTGTATGTTGATTTTGTCTTCATTTATACGTTCTTTACATAGTGAATCGACTGTACGTAGCTCAATCAGACAAATATAGTGCACATGGCTATCACTGATCAACCATTGCATAGTCGCTATCAGTATTACTCAACATCTGGCACTAGTGAGTCGCTCTATTACATTAACAAGCGCTAAGTTGTTTCGAAGAGTAGTTTCATATACATCTAATCTAATATAGTCGACACTAACATACTATGCATCTATGTCGGCACGTAGGAAAGCAAAATATTCGTCGAACGACGGCAAGATCCTGATTTTGTGCACTATTCCTCACTGTTCGACTGATGCCAGATATCAGAATCATTTTCAGATGTATGAGAAGCTGTTGAGTGTATATAAGTAAGCAATCACTGTCCTTTCGATTGGATTACGGATTCGACCACTATAGAACAGCAAACATAGAATCAAATGACAGATAGAATTGACTCAAACCTCCATGATGTTCAATCTCGAATGTCAATGAATATTTCAGAATCTATTTCAAAGTTCTCGTCACAAAGGATTGAAGAGAAGTTGAAACAATCGATTTGGATCGAACACAAGATAAAGTGATGTCTTTTCGAGACAATAGGGCAAGGTTAATGAACGTTCGTTATGCCAAAAGTTAAATTAATTGTTAAATTAACTTTCTTTCGGTTAAATTAATCCATTAGCTTAACAGAAAAAAGTTAAGTTAAGAATAATTAACTCTGCGATTAACTTAGCCCTGCCACCCAAATACTATTACCTAGTATATATGTCGCACAAATATCAAACCTAACTGACAATGTATAGACTGAATATCCCAGAAAATATGCGTTGCTTTACTTTTGACGCATCCTGTATTTATTCATGTCTGATAAGCAGAATCAAAAACTATATTCATTCTAAAATAATAGAGAACAATGAAAACGTTCAGGATGATTTATTTTCAGAGGTCGCCGGGAAGTTTTTTTTTAAGGATTTATTTGGGATCAATTAGTTATGTCAGTAATATAGTGCACTTGCACTGTAGCAATAAATATTGTATCAAGACATTACTCAGGATGTTCCATACCTTACGACAAAAAAAAACTCGGAACGAAGTGGCTTCATATCACAGGAACTCAACTATTTCTCATCGACGTGTACAAAAAATGCATGTCTTACTTGACTTCGATCAATTTTTCCAGTAGGCAATACTGGTAGTTTTGGCAAGACTATAAAAAGTGACGGAACACTGTACGAGGCTAAATGTTGCTCGCAATATCGCCGAATGTCATCAATAGGGATCTTGTCACCATTGCTGCCGACAGCCAAATAGGCAATCAAATGATCTTGTTCTTCATGAACTGCTTTTGACACCACACAATTACTAATGAGCGATGGAGAATAGGCCATAATAAAATGTTCCACTTCGGCTGCTTCGATTCTCTGATCCTGAATTTTGAACTGAAAATCTTGACGACCAACAACAACCAAGTTACCATCTTTCGTGTATTTAGCTATGTCTCCAGTACGATAGAGCACTTGTTCACCACCTGTTATATAAGGTAGTTTGATGAGTACTTTTTCGGTTTTTTCAACATCATTCAAATATCGTTTAAAGACACCACCACCTACAAATTCAATGGATTGATGCCTTTTTTCTTGAAAACGTTACATATTTACAAATTTACTCACCACTGTATAGAATTTCCCCCAATTGACCAATCTCTGTGATCAATTGCAAATTT